CGGGTTCTGCACCGCCCTGCTGTGGGCTGGCTGGAGAGCCCCCCTCCCCTCCTCTTGAGAAAGCAGCCCACGGCCACCAGGAAGCAGCAGAGTATGGTGCAGAGGCAGAGCCCCAGCGTGCTGTAGATCAGGACCAGCTGGTCGGAGCTCAGCTTGGGTCCCACGAGGACTGCAAGACAAGTGCAAGTGCAGGACCCTGAGTTCAAGGCCCTTCTCGGGTGGCCAGCAGCCATCCCCACCCCTCCCCTACCCCAGACACCCTCCTGACATTGCACTTCTTTCTCCCTCATTATGCGATTGGAATGGTCCCAGAGGTGGACAGATGTGCAGATGACAGCGCAGGAAGAGAGTCTCCCTCTCTTCGGCACCTAGCCCCTCCTCCACCAGGAAGCCTTCCTGGATGAGCTTATGCTTTGAGGGCAGGACCCGCAAGATTACTAACCAGCCCCCCCCAGCCTTGGGATGCCAGAGAAAGACCCCGTTGCTGGGTCAAAACCCTCCTTTGACATTTTTCCTTATCCCCAAGTTATCCTTCCTGGCCTTTGGAATTGGGACAAGAGCTAGGTCCTGGCGTGGAAGGACAAATAGCTAGATGTAATAAAATATGCATATATTGGACTCATGCAGGCAAACGTGTGCATGATGGGACAAGTTACCGAGCCCATTCTAGGTGCTGGGCACTTTTTTTGCACAAGTATTTTCCTTCATCTTTATCACTGGATAATTGGTTGCCCCCAGTTTAAAAGAAAATTGAGAAATAATTCATCTGCCATCCAGTTCATCCTTTGAAAGTATACATCTCTGTGTTTTGTTTTGTTTTTTTTTTTTTTTTTTAGTTGTTGCCACCTTTGGATCACCGTGAATAGACTACTAGGGAATGTGCATGGATGAGGCTTCCGTGGATGTGTTTTTGAATTCTCTTGGGTGTAGACCTAGGAGCTGTGTTGCTGATTCATGCCATGATTGCTTAACTTCTTTAAGAAATGCCAGACGGCTTTCCACAGCACCCCTGCGGAGGACTGCATATGTGGCATACGTTAAGGGCACCCGAGTGGCAAACCACTCCCCTCGTGCCAGGCACGTAAGCGACCCACCGCTTACCCCGGAGGCACAGCCCTGGGCACAAGGCCTCCTGTGGCAATCTCAGCATTTGCTCCACAATCCACTCCTCGACTGGTCACCGCAAGCACAGTTAGCAGACATTGCATTGGTGGCTGCCTGTAACCTGCTTAGCTGCTGCCTGAGTATGAATACATGGTAGCTGCTCAATAAAATCAGCCCTGCTTCCTGCCTGGTCTCCAGAGGTCTTGATTAGCAACTCCGCAGCCACACTCTCCTCTGCCCTGTTCTATGGATCTCCTCGCTGGACGAGAGAGAGCCCATGCACACCCCCACCATTTTACACACCATTTTGCAGATGACAAAACTGAATGGCTAAGTGATATTGATTGTTCCCAGTCTTAGATCTGTGACGGGGAGCAGGTCTGATGGAGTCCCAGGCCACAGGGCAAGCACTGCCGCTCATCCTTACACACACTCTTTAGAGTCAAGAGTTGAGGAAGTGACAGGGCTAGCAGGATGCTGGTGTCACCAGGGCATTTACAAGGTGGAGACAGGCGTTCTGGGTGGGCCTGGGGTGCTGTCTTCTATGTGCCTAGAGCTCAGACAGCCCAGAGAAGGGGGCACACATGGTCCTCAGGAGGTGGTGCTCCACCTCTGGAGACTGAGGCTCACTGTTCCCACTGGGCCCTGGGATAAAACACAAATGTCCTACTGGCTGGACCCACAGGACAGAAGCCGGCAGCCTTCACAGCCGAGACAGAATGGCAGCGACAGACAGCCACAGAGCAGAGGTGACTGCGTGGTCATTCCAGGAGGAAGAGCAGACATTTGCACACCTGGAATATTTTCAGCATGAGGTTTGGACGGACCAGACCGCTGTCCACCACATCGGGGCAGAGTTCCCTCCCTTCCCTTCAGGGCTGAGTCGGGACGCATGTCACCCAGGAGGAGGGCCTGGGGTAACCCTGTGCCAGCCTTGGCCCTGCACCTGAGGCAGGCCTGGCCGCCCCTGCTTTTGCTCTCTTGGGAGACCTAAGCGTCAGAGCTGGGCCTCCAAGGTCCCCATCCCTAGCACCATCCCTAGCCTGGTGGCCCCATGAGAGACCCCAAATGAGGCCAGCAGGAGACTGGCCCAGCTAAGCCCCGCCCCCTCCGGATTGCAAAGACAAGTCAACGGCTGTTACTTTTAGGGCACTAAGTTTCGGGTGGCTTTTCCATGCCGCACTGGGTGACTCTCAAGAGCCCCTTTGATTTTAGGGGGAGTAAAGACAGGACTTTTCCAGTTTCTCTGCTTTTCCTCTCTGCCCAGACCAATGGTCTCAGGTCTTCCTGGGGGAAGTGAGAAATCGTCCCTACCTAGGGCCCTGCTCAGAAGTCAGGCTTTTGAAAGCCCTTGGACTAAGAAGAGAAACGCAGATTAAAACTACCCCCCAAAAAAACCTCGTTTTCTACCTGTCCCCCAAGGGGTGTGGGAAAACAGGCGCCTCCCATGTTGCTAGTGCGGGTTGGCTCTTTTCAGGGCCATTTGAAACCATCTGTCACCATTTACTTTTAGTTCTTACTTGTTTAGTACCAAGGATTGAACCCAGGGGGCCCTGTACCACTGAGCTACATCCCAAAATCTTTTAATTTTTATTTTGAGACAGGGGTCTTCACTAAGTTACTGAGGCTGGCCTCAAACTTGAGATCCTCCTGCCTCAGCCTCCTGAGTCATGGGGGATTACAGTCGTGCACCACTGTGCCCAGTCATCTGCCACCATTTAAAATGTAATTTTCTGATTCCTTTGACTGCCACTCTCATGTCCCCCTACCTACACACAGGATCACTCTACCCTGATCCCAGAGGGCAAAGGAGCTCAGTCAAAAGCACATTTTGGGAATGGAACCCAGGGCCTCACACATGGTAAGCAGGCACTCTCCTGTGAGCAAGCTTTGTCAGTGGATGTATCTTTTTTTTTTGGCGGATGTTAGGGATTGAACCCAGGGCCTTGTGCTTACGAGGCAAGTTCTCTACCCACTGAGCTATATCCCCAGCATCAAGCAAGCTTTGTCAGAATTGATGCCCATGAAAATCAACCTCCCAGAAGATGGCCCCTGGTTGCAGTTCCCAGATCCTACCACCAGAGGGCACTGTGCACAGCTTCTGCCCTCCAGAGGGCCCCGCAGGTCCCAGGCAGAGTTCATTTCTAAGCCAGTTTTTGTGAATTTCGCTTTGCTTTTTCGCCTTATGTCTGTCTTTTAAAAAACTGTCTTCAAAGCCATCTCTCACTTAAAAATAGAATTTCCACAGCCTGCTTGCTGTCCCAGCTCCGGCTGGAGCTGTGCCTCTCCACCATATTATAAATGTTCAGCTGGCCTGGGTCACTCCAAAGTGGCTCCCAGGTCCCGGCTCTGTCCCCACCAGGGGGCGCTGCTGAGTAAGTTAGAGGGGGCTACTGTTTTGGACTTGGCCTCCTCCTGCACCGGGTCCTCCCAGAACCAGGCTAAAGATGGAAGTGGAACCTGGGTAATGGTGGTGCGCACCTGTGATCCCTGTGACTTGGGAGGCTGAGGCAGGAGGATTGCAAGTTTGAGGCCCAAACCCGGGCAACTCAGCAAAGACCCTGGGCATGTAGCTCAGTGATAGAGTACCCCTGGGTTCAATCCTCAGTCCCAAGGAGAAAAAAAAAAAAATTCAAAAGGGAGTCATTCACACGAAAGAAGAAACCAAGCTAAAAGAAACCAAGCTGTTTATCTGACCTTCCAAGCAATCAGGAAAGATGAGAGAAGGGTCCGATTTTCCCACAGCCCAGTTCCAACCCGCAGAGTAAGGAAGTTCCTGTGTCTTCCACCAGGGAAGGTGGCCTGCAGGCACCCGACGTGAGCCAAGCAGTTCTGTGTCTATGTCTCTCTCCCCGTCGTCGGGGGTAAAGATCCAAGTTCTCCAGATCAGACGCCATCCAGAGCTCAGCACACACAGGGTCCTGGCTGTCCCCAAGCCTGTCACATGGGAACACTCGAAGTGCCCCGGGGGACGTCTCTTTCCCTTACAGTGCACCCACACACACACCCCCCCAAGAGACGTCCCCTCGTGACCTGCACATGTGACGACAGAGTCTCTGCAGAACGTAATGAATTGAGGACCTGGAGACTAGATGGCCCTGGACGAGGGTGGGTCCCAGATCCAATGACCAGTGTCCCCAGAAGACGGGGGAGGAGAGAGGCAGACACAGAGGAGGCCAGGAGTAGAGACTGGGGTGAAGACGGGAATAGAGCCCGAGTGATGGGGCCGCAAGCCCAGGAATGCCTGCAGGCCACCTGAAGCTGGAGGATGGACAGAGCCCAGCCCTGGGCAGACCTTGGTTCTGACCTCCTGCCTCTAGAGCTGTGGCTGGGTCCACCTGTGTCGTTCGGAGTCACTCCGTCTGTGGAGCAAGGTCACCGCAGCCACAGGAAGCTACCCAGGTCACCTGCAAGGACAGCTGGCTCTCATGTGCCACACACACACACACACACACACACACACACACACACACACACACACGGCAAATGGGAAGTCACCGGAGCCTCCAGAGAGCCCCAGGAGGGCATTATGGGTGGGGACAGTTGGGAAGGAGCATCCTGAAACTTCCCCATGTCACCCAGGTCTTGGCCTCGCCCCACCTCCTCATGTCACACCTCTGTTCCGCTCAGGTCCTTGTTATCTGTGGCCAGACATAGCACTCACTCGGGACCCTTGCTGCCATCCGTGTCCCCAGAGGCCACGGGAAAATCGCCTCCCAGCCCCCTTCTGACCTCTTGTCCAGTTGCTGCGTCCCTGCCTCGAGCCGGACACTGGCCTCCCCAGCCCGGCAAGAGAGTCCCTCTGTCATGTGGCACCTCGCCCCTCCCCCTGCCATCTCCAGCCACCCCTGGCTGCTAGCTGTTCTGCCTCATTCCCCCTCCTCCTTTCTCTGTCCCTTTCCAGGCCACCAGACCTGCTAGAGAAGTGGATGATGGATCACTGCGTTCCTGTCCCCCCTAGAAAAAAATAATATGTAGATACCGGGATTGTACCCAGGGGCGCTTAACCACTGAGCAACATCCCCAGCCCTTCTGTCAATTTTTTATTCTGAGACAGGATCTCCACGAAGCTGCTTTAGGGCCTTGCTAAAGGGGCTGAGGCTGGTCTTGAACTTGTGATCCTCCTGCCTCAGCCTCCTGAGCCACTGGGGTTACAGGCGTGCGAGAGATCAGTCTATCCTTAGCGTAAGTCCTGTCTGTTGTCTCTCCCTCCGTGAGACTCTGGCCTCCCCCGAGGCACGGCAGTCCTGCGTGGGCGGCCTGAGAATCCTGAAATCCATTGAGGTGGGCCTCGCAGTGCAGGGTACGGGTGGTGGGGGCAGACCAACCTGACCTCTGCTCCCTCCCCTCCGGTAGGTCCACATCTGGGTCTGTCCCCTGTGCATGTGGCCCCGACTTCCTGTCTACAATCCACGCCAGCCCGGCCCCTGCCCCGGCAGCCCACAGAGATAGGAGAGGAGAGAGCAGAGAGATCTCAGCCACAGGCCACCAGGGAGATGCCTGGCAGGGAGGGACAGGGGACAGCAAGAGAATCACCAAGTCTCTGAGGCTCTGGGAGGGCCTGTGGTGTCCCCCGGTGACACCACGGTTCAGCCAAAGCTGCAGGGTGAGGCGCAGGAAGGCTGACCCCCCGCTCCTGACCTCCCAACCTGTCCTTATGCACCCCACCTACACGTCCTGGGAGCTCTGGTCCTTGCAGCCAAGATGAAGCCCCAAGTACCTTCTGGTGAGGGGCTTGGCTGGTGGTCCCAAGCAGGATGTGACTCACCTCCTCCTAAGGGCAACCGGTCACCCTCAGGAATCAGCGATCCCACCCATGGGTCCTGCTCTGGGTCCTCCGGCTGTTGCTGGGTGGACCGAGCCCAACTCTGTCACATACTTGCTATGTGACTCTCCAGGGAACTGCTGTTTGATAGGCCAAGGGCAGCTCCAAGGTCGTCTCGGGTGCTCCCGACTCCACACAGAGTCCCCCTCCCCCCTTCCTAACACCACGCAACAGGGTAGGGAGTCTCCAGGTGTCTGCTGGGCGGATCAATTCGATTATTTTTGACACCTGGCCCTCAGCGGCTGCCCAGCTGGGCAGACTCTTCTCACTATGTCCACAATGGCCATAAAGTTTTGTTTGGCTTAGTCATAGCTCTTCCTTCTCATTCAAAGGAATTCTCCGTTGTCCCTCACCGGAGGCTGAGACTGGGTGTGGAGGCCGGGGGTGGCCTCCTGGCACAGTGCTCACGTAGGCTGGGCTGCTCACGTTTCAAAAACTTGCTCATCTGAGGATGGCCTGAAATCCCAGCCACTCAGGAGGCTGAGGCAGGAGGATCGCGAGTTCAAAGGCAGCCTCGGCAAAAGCGAGGCCCTAAGCAACTGAGTGAGACTCTGTCTCTAAATAAAATACAAAACAGGGCTGGGGGATGTGGCTCAGTGGTCGAGTGTCCACTGAGTTCAATCCCGAGTACCCACCCCTCCAAAAAAAATCACATGGTACTCCATAAATTGTAGAATTCTGTGTGAGTTAAAATATACTAAAAAGTGTCATGTATAACTAATCCATACAAATGAAAGAATAGATGAAAAGTTTTAAAAGAAAGAACCTCAGTAGCCTCCATTACAAGTCAGGCCATTTCTTCTCCTCCTTTCTTGCCCACACACTTGTGGAAATTTTATCTAAATTGTTTTGCTATCCTGGGTTGACTACCCTGGCTTCTGACCATTTGCCTGGACTCTGGGCTTCTTATATCGCAGACTCTTCGTTTTTTTTTTTTTTTTAATATATGTTTTTTAGTTGTCGATGGACCTTTATTTTATTTATTTATGTCCGGTGCTGAGAATCAGATCCAGTGCCTCACACGTGTGCCAGGCAAAGGCTCTACCACGGAGCTACAGCGACCCCAGCCCTGCAGACCCTTCTGACCAGGCTTGGTGGCCAGCCTCCTGTGCATTCTGGCCCTCCCCACCCCAGGCTTACCTGGACCTGCCTCTGAGCCTCTGTGTTCCAATCCCTGGTACCTTCCTGAGTTGTCTGACCTGGTTTCCGTCTCCCCCATCTGTGGCCTCCTGAGCTGGGGTGGAAGGTTCACTCGACTCCGGAGTTTGTTCTCACAGAAGTATTCACATGGCTTTGGGTGCTGTCCGCAGATGGGGGTGCAGCTGACGCAGTCTTTCAGGAGACGGTCGTAATATTTACCTTGCTCCTTGAGGCAACTGAGGGACTCTGGGAAACAGAAGGGAGTGATGGGTGACATGGGCCTGCAGGAGCTCTGGGTCTCATCTCAAAGGACATCAAAGTTAAAAAAAAAAGCCACAGTCCAACTCAAATAGCAATCCCAGAATAATCCAAGTCTTTTTACAAATCGAATTTATACAAACGGAAGGCTATGAATCATCCTCCAAGTGCTGCTGTGGCTGCATCACACACATTTTAATACATAGTGTTTTTCCTGAATCTAGTTCAAAATGATTTTTTTCTTTTTATTATTACTTCTTCTTTGGCCTATAGATTCTTTAAAAAACTCTTCTTTTTTAAAAATAAATAAATAAATAAATAAATATTTTTTAAAAAAAGATTCCATTTCTTAGTTTTCAAGCCTAGGAAGATTTCTACTTATCTTTTAAAAGTGATAAACTAGATTCTTCAATTGCCTTCATTGTCATTCTTTACTTGCCTTTTCCAAACCCCATCAAGAAGAAATATATCTCCAATTAGCATAAGGAACAGAGGGGAAGGTCAGAGTCCTCTTTGGCAAGTTGCGGGAGGGGATTGAAAGACAGGTGGGAATGCTCACATGAGTAGCATTTTATTATTTTAAAAATAAATGGGAATGTCAGCCGCTAGAAGAAGTATCAGTGCCAAGGAGCAGAAGCCAAGAAAACTAAAAGCCCAAGCCATTGACCTTCAAGAGCCCGACAGAACCTACACCAAGGATACAGAGAACTCTATTTAAGGGCTCCTTGAGGGCGCAGCTCAATGGTGGAGCGCTTGCCTAACATGCACAAGGCCCGGGTTCCAGCCCCCGCACTGCCCCAAAATAAAAATAGCTGGGACAATCAGTTTACCTTCTAGAAAGCCTGAGAATATTTTTATTTCCACAAGTAAACTTTCTTTTAAGATTCCATTTAGGGGCTGGGATTGTGGCTCAGTGGTAGAGCGCTTGCCTAGCACGGGCAGGACCCAGGTTCGATCCTCAGCACCACATAAAAATAAAGGCCCAGCTACACCTAAAAAATAAATATTAAAGAAAAATAAATTTTTTTAAAAAAAGATTCCATTTATAGGGGCTGGGGTTGTGGCTCAGCAGTAGAATGTTTGCCTAGGGCATGCGAGGCCCTGGGTTTGATCCTCAGTACCACATGAAAATAAAATAAAGGCATTGTGTCCATCTACAACTAAAAAAAAAAAAAAACTATAGTTTATGTTTTAGGGGACCTGGTGTGGGAGGGATTCATGATCTAGTATTTACAGGTAAAAATGATATTTTAAAATTCACTGTAAAATATTCAAGCAAAAAAATGATTTGGAAAATAAAAAGGCAGGGGGCTGGGATGTGGCTCAAGCAGTAGCGCGCTCGCCTAGCATGCGTGCGGCCCGGGTTCGATCCTCAGCAGCACCACATACCAACAAAGATGTTGTGTCCGCCGAGAACTAA